GGTGACATCGGATGGTGTGACTGGCATTGTGCTGTTTGGGGGATGACAGACGGTTTGAGTTCAGGCCCATGCTGTTTGGGGGTGACACATGGTGTGACTTCAGGCCTGTGCAGTTTGGGGGGTGACATCAGATGATATGAGTTCAGGCCCATGCTGTTGAGGCACCAGCCCAGGTATGGGTCCACAGTCAGAGCCTCTCCCATGCCCACCACCGTGAGCAGCAGGGCACACTGTGGTCCACATCGTGCTCCCTGCAGAGGGCCTTCTTCCTCCCTCCCTGATGAGACCTGGAGGGGTCAGGCAAGGGGATGGGCACTGGGCGCTAGGGACTTTGTTAGCTACACTTGGGTTTTAAATGTGGACCACAGATGGGTATAGTCTTAATCAGAAGGAATGATGCCACGATGGCGAAATTTCAGGCACTGTGACAGATTCTAATGGGGTCGGAGAGGGGTTCCCCATCTCAGAGTCTCAAAGAACCATTGAGCTATAGAAAGTGTGAGCTGATCTGGCCATCAAGTTCAACCCTCACCCATTGTACAGGTGGGAAAACTGAGGCCTAGAGAGGACAAGGACTTGGCCTCTTGTCCTTGTCTTTTTGCCTTGAAGTGGGGGGGAGGGACTCCAGAGTGCAGCCAGGTGGTGGGTGGGGTGGGGAGGGGGAGGCCTGACAGGGCTCAGTGCCCCCAACCCTGTCCTCTCTCTTCCCACACCTCTCCCCTCCTCATGGAGGTCACCTTGTTTGTGCATGGAACTCTGGGGATACCCCCTTCCTCATCTGTAAAACAAGGGGGTTAGGTCAGCCCTGGGCCCCAACTTTTCACTATTTACCCATCAGAGAGATGTACCCAGTACGTTGTCCTTATTAGTTTCTAGTGAAATGTCATGTGGAAAGAGCTTAGGGTGGAAACCAGGCAGAGCAGGGTTCAAATTCTGACTCTTTCCTTCCCACTCAGCAAGGACTCCCCTCTCCCAGCCTCAGGGAACTCATCTGGGAAATGGGCATGAAACAGATCCCTACCCAGGAAAGACTAAGTGAGATAATGGATGGAGGTCACTGGCTCCTGCAGGCCTGGAAAAAACTCGAGAAAGCACCTACCATGAATTAGTAACTGGCTGTGGACTGTGCCGGGTAGGCCGCAAGCTAAGGGTTTAGGTGCCATTTCCTTCATTCTCCGAAACCTGGTAAGGAAGCAGCTCCCCCTACTGCCCAG